AAATTTTAAACTCTAATATAAAAAATTAAAAAATAACCCGTGCAACGCACGGGCAAAGAAAAACTAGTTATTTAATAAATTGTAATATGCATAATAAATATTATAACAACATTTAGTGCTAAAATAATTCGATATTAATATTATGAGTTATGTAAAATTGATATTTATTTAATTTTTTTAACCTTTCATGATTTTTTAATTATGAGTATAATTATTTATTAATAAATATGATTTAATTTGCATATATGCAAGAAAATAAAAACAAATAAAAAATACTTTACATTTGTAAAAAGAATCCTACCAAAATATAATGCAAAATAAATAAAAGAATCACAAATGAAATCATATTAATTAAAGAATGCAAAATAAATAAAAAAATATATGAAAAAAAAATATGTATATGAGTATAATTAAGGTAATGAAGTTAATTACCTCCATAATGCTGCCCCATTTTTCACCAAATTAGGGAACCTTTTGAAAAAAGAAATCAAATCATTAGTACAAACATAAAAATATATATATAAGTTAATAAAATGTTAAGAAAAATTTACATAATTTAGATAATTAAATAAAATGGAGGTAAAATAGAAATGGTAAAGAAAAAGGAGTATTGATTAAAAAGTAAAATAAAAAGAAAGATGAAGAAATGAAGAGTATGATTAACAAGTAATATAAAAAGAAAGATGAAGAAATGAAGATTTAATGAAAATTAAAAAAAAAAATTAACTAAAGTTAAAAGGAATAAAAGATTAAGAAAAGTGTTAAAGTTGAAGAAGAAGAGAAGAAAGAACGAAAGAGAAGATTGAGAATAAATGAAAAGAGTGAGCCACTATATATAAAAATAATTAAGGATTATTTCGGACAGTTATACTGACGAAATAAAAAGGCAAGAATTTCAAAGTCTTTCCCACAAAAAAGCTTGAAAGGCAGAATGGTAATATGAAATTAGTTCGGTCATACATTTTGACCAAATTGTATGAAGAGGGAAAATCAAAATTTTCACTAGTTCTTTTGGCAAAGATGAAGGAGGCTCCTTTGTTTTTTTACCTTATTTCGATCATTTTGCTTGATCGAACTAATCATGCTGACCAAATTAAAGATCAATTATTTTCTCCAAGGGTGGGATATTGGGTTGCTTTTTTCGGTCAAGTGTTTTGACTGAAATATGGATCACTTTTTTATCCAAGGATATGATGGGATTTTGCCTTTTTTGGTCAAGTGGTTTGGCTGAAATAGGTTGTTAAGGCTTCTACTTATTGCTTTAGTTCTTGCTTTTTGATATTTCCTCTTCTTTTTTACTTAATTTGTTTCAAACTTTTTTAGATAAAATTTATAATTAATATAATATGAAATTCCTACCAATTAATTAGCTTTGTATTCTAAACATATATTAAAACATGTAATTGAAAC